CCTGAAGTCAACTAAAGGGCTAATGATAACTATTAAACCGACTGTCATTTGATACAAATAAATATTTAATAACGGAAATGGAATAGCTTAAGTTCTTCGCTTAGGAGAATTCAATAAGTAGTGTTTACTCAAATTGCATAAAATATCATGCTACAAGGAAAGGAGGGTAAAGAAGGATACCAGAAAAGGAATGTTCAAATATTGAGAAGACTTCGGTTAAGTTGATTAATTGCAGTCAAATAAACTAAACAGATGCGTGCACTTGAATGGATATGAAAAATTAACAGTCCACCCAGAGGGCTAATCATCTTTAAACACCGCGGAAATAGTCTAGGGTGTAAATAACAATCTACTGAATTCAACCAGGAATACAAAGAAAAGTTTGAATTTCGAAGCGTTAGCTAACGATACACATATTAGGCAAAAAGCGGATAAAATGATAACTCTTTAATTCGGGGAAGCGAAAGTGATTTGATTCCCACATTATCTTCAAGCAAAGTTCTTCGCTCCAATCTGGCTCACTCATAACCAAGAGACGGACAAATCTCCTCCAATCGGCCATTTCCCTATTTTAGGACTAATTCGAACAGTCGAACAATAACTTACACAAACAGTCGCGTCAACAACTCCGATAATGCCTATCCGCAAAGAAACGAACCAAGAATTTGGAACGCTTCTAATAAACAATTCTTGGTATGTGTGGTAGTTAAAAGCAAGACAATGCAATGTACGCATAACAACGTAGAGATATTTCAATTCAATTCAGAACAAAGGCATGCCCCATTTTACGCATACAGAAGCTGAGTTAATGGCACAAAAAATGTTAACTTGTTGTAAGACATTTATTGCATTGCTAAAAGTACATGCTGCAAATCGATGCGTCTAGAGTGAATAGGTTTTATAGAACTCTATTTGCCCAATATTTTAGAATTGAACATCAAACATTTTGACAAATATACAAAATTCAGCACCTGAACCACTGAAGGGAAGAAAGACACACAGCCATACTCTTAAAATAAAAATAATAACCACCCAAATTTAAGAACTATGGATTTGAACCATAGTGAAAATAATCCAGTTAAGAAGAGAGGGGCAGGTTTATTACTGAATGTCTTTGAAGGACAATAAACTATATTTATCAGATACAAGTTAAGAGACTGATAACGTATTAATCAGCTACTCTATGAAAACTACCCCTTATTTGCATCCTCTTTCTTAAAGTTTTGAATAATTTCTGCAGGTTTCACTGTCGGTAAATGTGTGCCTAAGGCATCTTACTGAATTGAGCAAGTTTTCCTTCCACCGTTACCAGGATTTATTTTCTCTCGAATGTTAGAGGCTCCTTTTGCTACCCAATGTAATAGTAACACCTACAGTCTATAAGTACCTAAAAAAACAACAACGGTCAAGTGTGAAAAGCAATTTTATTAACGGCCTGGAAGCAGGCATTAAAGTTATTATCATAAACAGACCTTCAATTAAAAAGGATTGACAAAAACCATTCCTCTCATATAAATTTGAGTACACGAAATAAGGCGGTTGATAGGAAAGAGAGCTAAAGTGCATGAAAATCGAAGTACTATCCATAGATATCAAAAATGTGGGTGCAAAACTTCCGTTGGATAAATAAATGAATGTACGAACATGTGCTGGAAGCAGAAATACATTTGAAAAGCGAAAGGGTTTCCACTAAACTGAATGAGAGAAAAATTAATTCATATTGACTTTCATGAAAGTGACTAGTGCAGCAATCTACTGCCTACATCGCCACATATCATAAGGGCATTCGAAGTTCAAAATCTTGTTTCATTGAGGAATCGCAGCGTATGACTAGCTCACTCGGACAAGAAACAATAACATTCGCAACTCAATGATTACAAAATTAAAGTAAAACAATTACCCAATAGATCATCATTAACCATTAAACAATAAATAATTCATGGACTGAACATTAGTAAACATGATTTTCCCAAAGTATTAAGCCACGGCAGGGTTGAGTCACAATCTCAGTAGTATGCAGACAAATACCTTTCTAGTTCAGATTGGTGATGGAATTCTGGCAAGTAAAGCTGAAAACTGAGGAGAATACGTCTAATTTTTCGGAATTAGCCATACTATTAGGTTGGCAACTAAGTCATTGCCGATTTCAAATAAGAAGGCGAATTCGGAATTTTTGTTTAAAAATATAACTTTTTTCAATTAGATATTGGCCGTTCTTGTCGATGACCTTTTTCCATCGTTCTGGCAGAGTAAAAATTCCCCCTTCGTAAAATGTCTGGTCTTTGCTATTAAAAAACTGAATTAGGTGTGATCCGACATCATCCGCGTCGTTAACAATTTTACCATTTAAGGAGTTTTGCATGGAACGAAACAAATGGTAATACGAAGGCGCAAGGTCAGGGCTATATGGTGGGTGTGACAAAACATCCCGACCCAGTTCCAATAATTTTTGCCGAGTAACCAAAGATGTGCGGGGCCTTGCGTTATCATGATGGAAAACAACACCCTTCCGATTTGATAATGCCGGCCGCTTATCTTCAATTGCATCCTTCAGTTCTTCGAGTTCTTCAACATACACATTTGAATTTATCGTTTGGTTCTGCGGCATGAGTTCAAAATACAAATTCCTTTGTGATCCCACCAGACTGACAGCATAATATTTTTTGGTGAATCTCTGCTTTTGATACTGTTTGGGCTGGTTGATCTTGCTTCACCCATGATCTCTTGCGAGTAACATTGTTATAAATTATCCACTTTTCGTCGCCAGTAACTAGGTTCTTCAGAAATGGATCATTCTCATTGCGTTTCAGTAGCGGCGAATCACAGATGCTAATCCGTTGCGTCAAATGAATTTCCTTTAACTGGTGAGGGATCCATAAATCAAGTTTCTTGACATAACCAAGGGTTTTTAATTTTTTTCAATGCATGTATGCGACACATTGAGCTTCTCTGCAATATCTCGTGTTGTGCTGTGACGATTTGAATCGATAATGGCCTTGATATGGGTTTCATCCACTTCGACTGGGTGGCCAGATCGTTGTGAATTTTTCAGTGAAAAATCACCGGAACGAAATCTTTCAAACCAATTTCGACACTGCCTTTCTTTTAAGGCTTCATCTCCATATACGGCACATAACTTCCTTTGTGCTTGCGATGCGTTCTTGCCTTTTCGGAAGTAATGCAATAAAATGTATCGGAAGTGCACGTCCTGTTCTTTCATTTTTAAATTGGGATAAAAACAAAACTAAAGAACTAAACAAAAAAATTTTTTACTAATAAACCTAGAAGACCATACAGTAATAAAAAAATATAGGTTAGACGCTTTGGCCACGTTAACAAAACAAAAGAAAATATAGAGTGAATCCGTCAACAAAAACGCCAATGGCTTAGTTGCCAACCCAATACATTCCAAATCAGTAAGTGGGCCGCACACGGTTCCCGATAGTACATTTATTTATTTCAAATGGCAGGCGTTTTAATAGTTATCATGGGCCCTTTAGCTGACTTCGGTCTTCACAGAGGGGAGGAGGAACATCAAAGTGACAAAAAGTCGAGGAGGGGGACAGAATAATGATTCACATATGTAAAAGAGGCAGACAGACTGATACAAAGGCGGAGAAAAAGTAAGATGAGTTCTGTGGAAGGGGTTGAATATGACATACAGTCGGGTCATGGTAGTTAGAAGATAGAAGTCAACTGCCGATTAATAGACTATTTTGCCGAACGAATATACGTTGATAGTTAAGTTAGGCGTAAGCTGTTTTGATGATCAGAAAAAGAATATGAAAAAAACTTGTTAAGAAAATAAACCGACTTGAAGTAACTGCTCTACTGACTTATCATTCTCTCCAGACGCACATAAATCAGAAACGAAAAGTAAAGAAACAAATGCTACCGTGAAATTGGGACAATCACTTAGATCATGCATAAAATAATGAAAAAAATAAGCAATGCATTGTTAAAAATTTAGTTATGGAGATTGGAGAAGACTTCAATCTCGATAACCTAGTATGTCAACACATTTCAAATTTCAATATACGCAATCTTCAGATTAGCTAACTGAAGTGATTCTGACTTAATAGATTAAATATTGAATTCAGAGCAGTCCTTAGAAAAGGACAAAACAGCTTGCCCATTTTAAGTAATATAAAAAGTAGTATATTAGAAAGATTAACAGTGACTAAAGCAAAAATAAATTTTATTAACCACAAAACGTTAAAGTTGTAATAATATGGTAAGAAAAGAGCGAAACAAACTCACTTCTGTACATATTAAGACCATAAATTTCAGGTACTGCTGCTTGACGAAGAACTTTAAGTCGATCAATCGGAGCAGTTAGAGTACGAGATACACAACCAGCGGTAAAGCCAGCGAAGTAGCGGCATCTGTCGACATGTTTACGGGAGAGAATAACACCCGTAGGAGCTATAACCGTAGTTTGCGGAAGAGGTAATGAGAGAGTAGGAGGATGTGTATCCTTGTGCTTGCTATCTGTCATTTTTGGGTACGTGCTTTGAGAATAAAAACACGATGAAAAATTAAGTAGAACAATAACCTAATAACACACCAGCATTAAATACCAGGCGAAATGCAGCAAAAAGCATGGCAAAGATGAGTAAAATCCTCCAAGGTCATTCAGACAACAACGATAAAAAATTTAAATTAATTATAAATTTTATTAAAATTAATATAATTAATATGGCCTTTAATGTTTATAAAGTTTGTTTTTTACGTTTTGGTACTGCGTCGTCTTTGAAATCATCAAATCTGCAATTTCCTATTATGAATCGATCCAACGTTTACAGTGAGTATAGTCAAGAGAATTGTTGCAGTAACAGTACTGCTAATGTCGCATTTACTGAAACGTCGGAATATTATCTTTATAATCAACCTGAACAGTTTGAGGAACCTGTAGTGTCATCTAGTTATCATCGATCATACCAATCTATTGAACCGCGTCCCAATGAAGTAGGCAATTATTCTACTACATTGCTTTCTGATTCAATTCTTCCATCATATGAAGGACCTTTTGATGATGCAAATCATGTTTCTCATAGTTATTATAATCCTCCTGAATTTTCCGACTCTAATCAATTCTCGGAAAACTGTCAACCAGATTACACTTTTTATGAGTTATCGACCCCAAGTGGGTATAGTAACGGTTCCATACAAAGAACAATCCAATCCAATTATTGCAACATATCTCATCCTCAGATCTCACATTATGCAAACAATCGCAATTGCAATATGAGTTGTATGGCTCATGAAGCAGCAACTAATTCAGTTCCACAAAGTGGAGTCAACTATGATTATTCTTCTACTGGAGTAGATCGTCTTCCACGTTCGCTTAATAATGACTATGATTCACCGGCTGTAACGAATACCTCATATTCATGCCAAGCGCAGATCAACTATCAACAAGATCATGTTTATCAACAAGTAGAAATTTATCCACATCAGAATTCGCAAGCTTACTATTATTCAACTCAATATTCTTCTAATCAGTCAAATCCGCTTATTTCTTACAATCAGCCCACGAGTTTCGACAACCAGTCAAAGAATTATCAAACCTACTATTCAGAAACACAAGAAAGCTATTTGGATTATCAACCCATTGTTTATCATCAACCCAATGGAAATAGCCAATACACAGAGAACTACGTGGAATCTGTTCAATCCGTTTGGCAAGAAAGTACTTGCGGCAATCAGCAATCAAATTGGTGCTCTCAAATTCCAAGTAACTATGCCGATTATAGTGATAATTGTGGCCAAGTTCAAGTTTACAATGATAACAGCGACCGTTCATGTCATCAGCAATCTCAAACTTACACTTTTCCTGGCAGTTATAATTCCAATGTTCAAAATGGTCCTCATGTTTTGCATACCCTTTCGAAGCCTGTTCAAACCTCTGAATCTGCTTCAAAGATTCCAGATAGTGGTCAGATTGATAATCTAGTTCATTTAGATAGTGGTGAGGAAGATGAGACAGTTCATTCTCAAACCCTGACCGAGTCACCATGTGAACCGATTCATGAATACGCCTGTTCAGAATGCGATAAGCGTTTTGCTCGCCCAAGCCACCTCGAGATCCACTTTCGAACCCACACTGGTGAGCGACCATTCCATTGTTGCATCTGCTCAAAGTCATTTACGCAAGCATCCAACCTCCAGCGTCATATGCGATCTCATAAAACCTGGCCTCAACTTCGTTCAATCGGAGGTAAAATGGCTTCAAGCAATCCCATCGTACGCCCATCTCGATCGATTATGCCTGTCGCTCGAAGGGTGCTTGTGATATCAAACTCAACCGTGTTTAATTATAGTCTACTTGATAATCAATATGAGTGCAAATTTTGCGGTTTGAGAGTGAAGGGATTTCAAAAGATGCGCTCACATATGAAGCAACACAATAATGAGAAGGTCTATCAATGTATTGTTTCCTCCTGTCTGAAGACCTTTACGGAATTGACGACCTTTATGGAGCATTTGAATGTTGCTCATGATTTGACCAACTCAAAGTGGTTGAAGTGTGCCACGTGTCAACGACAATTTGAAAGTATGTTCCCTATTTTGTGCCTGTGACTTTTAATCTCTCTTCTATAGATGTTTCGGATTTGCTTGGGCATTACACTTCGAAAAAATGTACCTCTTCAAGAAATGCCACTATTAAAAGGAGGCTGTTTTATCCTCAAAGTGGACGCTCACGTACAACTCAACTAAGGTGAGTGTTTGCGTTTTGCGCACTCAAGTGATTCCTCTAACTAAGTCCGACTTCGGCTATACTTTACACTATGGTCTTATTTACTGTGGGGAAGTTTCTAAGTGTACCTTTTGATAATCGATTAGGAGCTAACCCCAATCAATTGGAGAACAATTTAATTCTATGGAAGTCATAATTATCAGCAGGTAGCCCTTATAAGGTGGTGTCGTGGGCCCCTTAATCAATTTTAGCACTCCCTTATTTTCTCCGTTATTTTTTATTAAATCTTCCTCAGCTTAGATATGAACGATATTTAACCCTTTATCGGCCTTGGGACCTTACTGTCCTCTTTCAAAATAAGCTCCATTGGTAGTAGACTCGTAACAGAAGGCCCTATTGCCCTTTGAAACGTGTTCAATACGTCTATAGCCTTCGACGGACACTACCAAAACTCATTACGCCGGCGGAATCAGTCTTTTGTGAAACATGCGTGAGTGAGGTTGGGTGCATTTTCAAAAGATAGTTGGAGCGCTAAAGGGTTAATCCACTTTACCAAATATATATTATCGGTTGATGGTCATATTCGTATTTCAATTTGTGCAGACAAATGTGGAGCTCATAAAATGACATTAAACGGAGGGATAGAAAGTAATACTTGATGAGTGCCTTCCGAATTAGATTCGGAAAGCTCTAGATGACAAATCCACGGAATATTGTTTGTTTCAATTTGGGGGGGGGGGGGGGGTATGCATTTATAGACACGATTTGTGTCTTGACAATCATGCATTCTAGTTTCATTTCCTTTTAAGAACTGTTCAACTTTACAATTTTGGGTAGTATCGTCGCTCTCATCTATATATTTACTGAAACGCGTGGTGGTATTTTGAAATTTCAGCTCATAATCGTAGTTTCCTTGCACTTAAATCTCGACGATAGTGTTGCGGGAGGAAGTTCGCAGCTCTCAATGTTTCCGCTTTTCTAATGTGTACTCCAGAAATCGAATTAACATTGGCATTTGTAATTTTTTCCTTTGTAGATGTCCAATCTGTCGTTACCGACGATTTGCTCGATATGGATTGCTACGAATACATCTGTTGAATGATCACTCGGTAACTAGCCTATCAGAAGTTTCCCCATCGAAAGCTGTGAAACCTCAAAGCCTGTATGTTGCCCACTATATATATATATATATTAATTTTTTGCGTCCACTTTGCTTATCTTTCTACGGCACGTCTAGAAAGCTGACCTGTCATTCATAATAATTCCCAGGCCGTTTAGGGTAGTATTTTCGTCTCCCATCTTAGCATCGAAGGGCCACCCTGATGGAGACCTCGAATTTTGCCACCCCCCTATATTAGCCAGTCTTAACAAGTGGGATTGATCATTCTGCATCAAATATCCACTTTTATTGCCTGATCCCTTGCATCATTTCGCCGCTTATAATGATGAAGTACTAGTAGTAATAGGTTCATTTACCAAGAGCATTTCTGAGTCAAAAATAACTCAGTTGTCTTGATTCGAACTCTGCTAGAGCTCACCTTCAACGTGGTATTGCAGTCGTCTAGAATAATCTTCATTACAGAGCTATTATCTGGTGGTTGATCATTGAATGATTTTTCTCAGACTAGTGAAATCGGACTTGAGAAATCACTTTAAGATGCTGCCTAAACACATTTTCAAAGTGGAAATGGGTGTGAGGTGTCAACGACATCGGATAATTATGCTTAATTAGTTGTGTTTATGCTTGGTGGGGTGGTAATTAAAGTGGGCCTTAGCTATACCTATTATTTAAATGACTCTGGGCAGTCTAATTTTGAGGATTCTTGTGCTTGTTCAGTTCTTAAACTCGGCTTTTCCCTAATTATAGCAATAAACCTTTGAGTCCTAGTCCTCAAATGCAACCAGTCATCGCCTTATCTCAAGATACCCATCTAACATCTGCCAGCGATCCGTCACAAGCTCCTGGCGACACCAATCTGGAAGGATTTGACTCAAATCCTCCACCGCCACCTCTTCCACACTCCAACGTTCGCCTCGTTGTCGAGCGGCGATCATTTAAACAACGCTTTGACACTTCTCCACTTGCATGTCCTCTTTGCCAACGGGTTTTTAAGAAAAAGAAGTTTTTTGATGACCATTGCGCTCTTTGTGAGCAGGTAATTTATTTTTGTTTTCTAAATGCCAAATTAATTATAATGGGATTTCATTTTTCCCTTGTCTCAAAAACGTTAATAAGACTGTGTGTCATCTATAACTATAATAAGTAATTCATTTTCCCGTTATCTACTTATAAGCTGTATTTGAATATGCAGTTATTTGATTTAAAAATGTTGAGTCTTCAGAATGGTAGGCTGCTATTCAAATCTAGTTGGATTTTCTGATGTCAGCATTTTGCAAGCTTCTAGTTTTAAATCACCATTAAGTGGCAATGTCTGTTCGCCTTTTATTCTCACTTTCATATCAAAGTAGATAGGGGGTGTGCGATAGACTTACCTCCACGTGGTGCACCCTGGGCAACGTATAATCATACGGCAAAAAAGTCTATTAACTGGCAGTTGACTTCTGGCTTCTAACTACCACGACCCCCCTGTTTGTCATATTCGACCCCTCCCACAGTATTTACCTTACCTTTTTCTCTGCCTTTGTGTTCGTCTGTCTCTTTTACATCTGTGAATCGCTCTTCTGTTCCCCACCCCTCGACTTCCTGTTACTTTGATGTTCCCTCCCTCTGTGAAGCCCGAAGTCAGCTAAAGGGCTAATGATATCTATCAAACGCCTGCCATTTGAAATAAATAAATAAATATCAGAGTAGATATTGTAACAGCCTCCCAGATGACCGCAGATCCCCCCACCCCCCTAAAAACTCAAAACTTATGCTGACTCTTAAGTTCTATACTACCTATGCATCGGTGGCATATCGGTTAAAGTGTGTTTATCGGCAAGATTACGAGACCAAGGGTTCGACCCTCATCGGTGGACAGGCCTTGCTAATAACAAGTGCTGAGTGATGAGCGGGAGAAATCGAATTTCTTACCAGACGGACTCTTTGATGTTATTTTATTCATGATGATTAACAGTACGTTTCAAAATGAGTTTAGGAGCTAGTCAATTGATAATCACATTATCTTTCCTATTCGATCAATGCTTGTTTATTGGAAGTCTTTTCATGTTTGTTAGAAACAGGCAGAGGCAGAACGGCGTCAACGTTGGCGAGAAAGCCGTCGACAATCTGATGTTCTTATAGCCTCTGAGGACCCCTTGCCACCAATTTCTGAGACTTCACTTTTATCTGAAAACGTCGATGATTCATCCAGACGCACTCGTCGATCTCGTCGGAAGTGTATTCAATCTTCCAACCTACCCATTTCTGTTTCTTAGTGGAACCAAGAAGGAGCATGAACTCCTTTGTAATTAGTCGTTTCAAATTTTTCCACGCAAATATTTCATTGATGAACCTCGGTGTACAACAGAATAATTGGTCGGGATTTCGTGAAGAAAAGTATCTTTGTTGGACACTATGACCTCGACAGGCAAGTTTGTGCAAGATTCCTAACATTTTAAGAATTTTCTAAAATCTGGCTTAGCTTAATAGTAAATCTTCGATACTATTCCATTTTCCCCTCACTTCCTCAATTTACTCAAGCTCTTTGACGAATTATTTTTTTTAAATTAAAAAGCTTTGAATTTCTGACCATTTTTTGCTGAGACTGTCGTTTTTTTCGTTGGTCATAATTAAACGTCACACTAAGTTGACTACGTTTGCATCGTCTTAGAAACTGCTATATCATCGATGTCGCACTGTTTTAAACCTCGAAAGTATTCTTACTGTTGTTAGGGTCTACTTCCTCACTAGTTGCCGTTAGGCTACGGTTGATTCTGACATGGTGAGTCATAGAGAAAAGTCTATGTGTTGAATTAACAAGCCGTCTCCATTTAATGGATGTTATGGTCACCTGACCAAAGACTCTGTCTCTCGTCGTCGAAATTTCAGTAGCAACGTGCACCTGCAAATTGATAAGGATAATGGCCGACTAAGAGATCTATTTGGATTGTTGTCCATCTCAAGACTAAAAGTTGACCACAATGGCTTTATCAGTATCTCATTATTTAAATCTTTATTATTATTACTATTTTCAAATGGAAGGCTTTATGATATTTATCATTAGCCCCTTAGTTGACTTCGGCTTTCATTAGTGGCGGGGGGGGGGGGGGGTGGAGGGTGCATAAATAGCAGTTAATTAATAGCAGTTCATTAGCTGACACCTGGCTTCCCAGTATCTCTGGGTTTCCGTCGTTGTCTTTAGGGCTGGACACCGAATCAAGTAGGTCTTCTCCATTTCCTCCTGTAGATCTCGTAGGGGGCATGTTGGTTGGGTGTATACTCCTAATCCGTGAAGGCGCTTTGCCAGGCAATCGTGTCCGGTACAGAGTCTAAACTCAGGGTGCACCACGTGGAGGTAAGTCTATCGCGCACCCCATTTAAATCCTCATTAAGTACAAGCAAGCACTGAATAAGCTAAAGGCCTCAAATTACCGCGGTTAGGCTGTTAGACTAAAAAATAATTCGCTTTGCGCAAGTCCGATGCTTTCCGCCCTCCCCCCCCCCCCGCCCTCTATCCAGGAACATGTCTACCCGTTTGTTGAGGAATGATTGTTGACATCTCTATTTCTGCATATTTGTGATGTCTTAGGTTATATTCTAATCTCCTACTGTTTCACGATAGGTTTTTCACCAAAAAGCTCATATCCATCGTATTTGCCCATATGATTAAAATATTGCTCTTTTTTCCCTTTCTCGTGGAAACAGGTAGGGACAAATTGCCGTTAACGTGGATGAGGAATTCAAATCTACTCGAATTTTTTTGGCAAGAGACCACACTAGCCCTCGATTCCTCTTGAAGAGCATTGATAGCTCTAGGAAATGCGTGCCTTTCAGAAATAATCCAGTTACCCTCAACTTTATAACTTGACTAGAGAAGAATGGCTACCTCTAATGTCTTTCATTAGGACATTTAATTTTTGCATTTATCTTCCTATCTAAATACACTTACCTATTTCTTCTATCTTTGGGTTTTCTTTTATTTCTTTTTCGAGGCTTTTGTTTGACTGACTTTGCGGTGATATCCCATTTTTTTCAGGCAACAGCTACAGTTGTCTCTTCCATTCAACAAACTAAAGAGCTTTCAGAAATGGCCGGTAGAAAGCCTCTCTTGTCTGTCTGGACCGGCCCTTCTCTTCGTTTCGACCTCCTAGCTGAGTGCTCAACAACCCGTGCTCGAGTTTGTCAACTCTTCTTTCCCACTCACTGTCCAGCTGGCCCTGTTCAGACTCCGGTGTATATGCCTGTGGGAACCCAAGGGACTATTAAAGGTATCACAGTGGGACAGTTAGAGCAAATGGATTGTCGAATTCTACTTGGAAATGCCTACCACCTTGGCCACCGACCTGGTCCTGATACTCTAGCACGAGCTGGGGGTCTACACAACTTCATGTCGTGGCCTAGAGGCATTCTAACTGATTCTGGTGGTTTCCAGATGGTCTCACTATCGAAACTATCTTCAACTGATGAGATGGGCACGCATTTCCGCTCCCCCCACGATGGTTCAGAAATGCTTCTCACTCCTGAGGAATCAGTTGGCCGTATTCAAGCCTCAATCGGGTCGGATATTGTAATGCAGTTGGATCATGTTCTGCATGTTAGAACAACTGGTCAGGAGGTGTACGATGCAACTAGACGCTCTGTTCGTTGGTTGGACCGATGTATTGATGCCCACAAACCACAATTGCCAAAGCAAAATCTCTTTGCTATCACTCAAGGAGCTTTATATGAAGACTTGAGGGAAGAATGTATAGGAGAAATGGTGAAACGAAAAGATAAGGCAAGTAAATAGAGTGATTTTAACCATTTTTTCTCATCTAGGTTCAAGGATTCGCGATTGGAGGCTTGAGTGGGGGTGAAGAGAAACCCGATTTCTGCAGAACGGTTTTTCAATCAACTGGACTATTACCGAGGGACAGACCTCGTTACTTGATGGGTGTAGGATTTCCTATTGACCTGATGATTTGTGTTGCTCTCGGTTGTGATATGTTCGATTGTGTTTATCCAACTCGCACCGCTCGGTTTGGACAGGCTTTGGTTGATTGGGGTTTGGTAAGTAGGCTTTATATTGCTTTACTTATTATTATTATGGGTTTGTATTGGGAAAGAGGGTCATTCTTCGCTCAATGAGTCACGACTTGATGTTTACGTAGAAATTGAAAATATGTTTATTTCTTGCCTCCTAGGTGAATCTCCGCCTGACTGACTACACCTACGATTTCCGTCCAATCGAGCCGGGGTGTTCATGTCCCGCGTGTTCTGACGGAATTTCGCGCTCCTGGCTTCACGCTGCATTTGGAGCTCGTCAGCCAACTGCGGCCTCCTACGTTAGCATGCATAATCTGACCTACCTCCTCAACCTCATGTCGAGAGCTAGAGAGGCAATCATGACGGACAAATTCCCTCAATTCCTCAAACAATTCTTCAAACGCCGTTGCAGACCCGCGAAAGGGGGGTCACAAGGAGACAGTGAAGAATCGTATCCTGACGTGGAGTATGAATTCGACCGGGTACCGGAATGGTGTGTTGAGGCTCTCAAGCGAGTGAATGTGGAGCTGTAGCATTGTATGAATATAAATTTTGTTGTATAATAAAGGCGATTGTGTACCACTTCTGTCTTATTCTCGTTAAATTCTAACTTGGTTGCTTGGCTTTATGTACGCTCACTGTGCTGCATTTAATCTCTTTGTGTTAGACATGATGCTTTATTAAGGAAGATTTTGTTAGTCCAAACCAGTATATTGAAACCAATTTAGTACTGGACTATTCTGATTGGTATTGATAAGTGGGATAAATGCATTGGATTAGATATCCCCGAGGGTTGATGGCTCAATCACAAACGAAATCGGTAATTTCACCTAGGGGGGAGGGGAGGGGGGGAGGGGGAGAGCACTCGAGGTTATCAGTATGTCAATAGGCAGCGTCGTTGTCATCGTAGCCGATGGGGAAATGTTCGACCAAGTCGTTTTAACATGGATCTGGAAAATCAATGCATATTTTAAGAATTATACTTTTACCAGATGGAGGTCTCCAAACGTAAGTCCAAGATGGATAAACAAAGACCAAAAGTAGAGTCTTCGCAGAAAAGTGAAATTGTTCCTACAATGCCGAAAGATTCTTCAATTCCGAAGACTGAGAAAAAGGCCAAATCCCAAACCGATGCTTCAGTGCTTCTACTAGCAGGTCTTATCATATTTCGTTTGTTGAATGCCCTGCTGATACAAACAACGTTTGTACCGGATGAAATATGGCAATCTGTTGAGGTCGCCCATCGCTGGGTTTACGGGTAAATATCATATATTTAAATGTCGTGTCTACTTATAATTAACTCAGTAATATCCATTTACTCTTACCCTAGATACGGTGCTCTAACATGGGAATGGGAACCATCTGTAGCTATCCGATCTCCACTATATCCTCTAATATTTGCTGGATTGTACAAAGCTATGGCTTATTTTGGTATTGATTCACGAAATAGCATCGTTCTAGCTCCTCGTTTATTTCATGGCTTCTTAACTGGTGTTGTGGAGTTCACTATCTACAGAATGGCTTTCCAGTTAAGTGGAAAGACATCTGCTAAGGTTTGTTTTACCGATTCAGAAATGACCTTCTTCATCTAGTGGGTGTTGTTTGCAGAAGTTACAAACTGGTTTACAGCGTACTGCGCCACACGAAGTCTTAGCAACAGTATTGAATGGGCACTTCACGCTGTGTGCTTCCGGTATTATCCATGGCCATCATATCTCGGTTTCCATTCTGGCTCCTCCCCCGGCTTATTTATGCTTCATGTCTGCTTGTGTGTCATCTTTCGTCCGACAGCTGCTGTTCTATGGGGACCAGTCTGCTTGCACTATATCATTCGTGTCTGGTAAGTCAACGAAATCAACCAAGACTCCTAAAATTTGACTTCTAGGTTCACTTCAAGTTTCCGAAACTTTTGTCGAGTACTTGGTCTTGCATTACTGATCGGCGTACTCTGTATGGCTGTTTCTATCGGGGTTGATCGATGGATTTTTCATCGATGGACAGTGAATCAGATTAATTTCCTTAGTTTCAACTTCTTTTCTAGTGGAGCGGATTTCTATGGTGTCCAACCCTGGCATTGGTATCTAACCAACGGGCTGCCATCCATTCTTGCACTTCACTTGCCCTTATTTTTTATTGGTTGGTGTGTTGATTACTCTCGAGGTTGTTTGTGGCTGAAAAGAACTGGTTCGAAACTAAGTTCCCAAGACGTCAAAGAATCAACCATTGCAAAATATTTTGGTCTCTGGATTCTGTGGACTGTACTTGCTTACAGGTAAATAAGTAAACAAACTATTATCAGGAAGTGGGGCTTTGGTTGATGTCTGAAGTTTCCTGTACCCTGTCCACTTGTCATCATGATTGGCATCTCTCTCTCTTTTAGCTCTCTGGCGCACAAAGAGTTTCGGTTTCTATTTCCTCTCTTTCCGCTCTTTATCTACTACGCGGGCCGTGGTTTGCTCCATCTAAATAGAGTCTTCAAGTCGTCGCGGTTTTCGCTTTTTCGATGTTTGATTATCCTTCTCATTACTGTGAATCTTGCTTTAGCCGGTTATACATGCACAGTTCATCAGAGAGGCCCCGATACCTTGATGTCTGTACTTTCTGCGCAAGCTGAGTCAGCAAAGTGGGAGGAGATGCCCAAAAAGCCTGATATTTTAGTTCTTATGCCTTGTCATAGCACACCATACTTAAGGTTAGTGGCAAGCCGTTAAGTGGCTAAGGCCCCTACTCATTATTAAGCTCAAAGTTAACTTTTTTCTTTTAGCAATCTCCATGTAAACACAAGTCTTCGTCTCCTAGCGTGCGATCCGGACCTTTCGTCATGGCACAACACCGATTCAAGGGACTATATCGATGAAGCTGAGTACTTTTATGAAAAACCAACTCGTTGGCTTAATGAAAATTACCCAAACAGTAAAACCCTGCCTCAGTACATAGCCACGTTCTCTGAGCTAACTCAGAACCCGGTGTATGGAGAAACAGTCCTGAATTGGCTGAAGGAGAGGAATTACTCCATGTGTTCGGAGATATTCCACGCACATGCCCTTTCACACAGGAGACACGGTAGGGAAATTTTCGTTTGGTGCGCGAAGGGATGGAATCTGAATTTGGCTGAGAAGACGAGGGAAAGATATGGAGTGTTCCGGTATATGATCTTCTAATGTGCTTCCCTTTTATAAAACGTGCATGGCCTTAAGTTCATTTGTAGTAGATCTTTGTTCTTAAGGCTGCCTCTCCTTGAGGTTATTCTAACTCAGTTTTTATTCGTTATTTACTTAAAATAGAATACTGTACCATGTATTCTACTCTTGTTTTATTCAATTGCGTCGAATTTAAATATTAGTTTTTTTTACATTCGATGTATTGGATGAATCCACAATTTCTCCTTACATCAACGTATTTTTTCATCCACGTCACGATTTATTGCACTATTTCAATACGTCGTACCAATTGTGAATAAAATTGCAACAGTAAAACGCGAAAACGTGGAAAATTTTCTTAATTATTAATTATGGCGCGGTGGGGGGAAGGAATTTCTAATCTCACTTTTAACGATCATACTACCGATCCAAAACTAATGGATTTATTATGCAAATGGTTTCTTATTTTGTTTGAGATAGAATATCTTAACCAAAATGATGTAAGCGTTTGGTTAATTTAGTAATATTTAGCACTTTATGAAATTTGACGACTTGCAAATTTATTTATATAAAATGGCAGGCTTTATGATAGTTATCATTAGCCCCTTAGTTGACTTCAGGCTTCACAGAGGGAGAGAAACATAAAATCGAAAAAAGTCGAGAGGGGGGGGGGTGAACAGAAGAGTGTTTTAAAGATGTAAAAGAGACAGACACAAAGATAGATGAAAGGTGAGATGCGTACTGTGGCAGTGGTCGAATATGACATACAGAGGGGTCATGATAGATTGAACACAGAAGTCAACTGCCGGTTTATAAACTTTTTTGCCGTATGAGTATACGTTGTCTAGGGTGCACCACGTGGAGGTAAGTCTATCGCACACCCCACTTGCAAATTTAATTACTTCATTCGTGATGAGGATTGACCTTGGGCAGATAGCAGATATTAAATGCTTGGTACATAGAATGATAAGAATTCACGAAATTGTGTACTACAAGAAAGTGATGGTCGAGGAGAACATTTTAACTAATTTTTTCATTCAACTGTAATTATGACGCTCGAGCATATTCAATAACAAAACTCGCCTAAAATTTGCAACTTGGAGCAATCTTGAGGTCCTCTCCGAGAAAGGCCAACATTTCGTCACTACATCAGCCCGATGTCCACGAAGAAAATTAATAATTCTCTTAAAGCTCTCTCAGACCACAGCGACCTTTTCCGAGTGCGTTAATGAAGACTTATGAAGGATCGTGTGTGCATTTTTGTCGTTTGGAAATTATAGGGTTAGAAGAAGAGGAAATGACTATGACTTGAAGTAGGGAGAAAAAATTAATGCATCCGCAATGTTCGTGAGGGGAGGGGGTTAGACTTATCTTCACGTGGTGCACCCTGGACAGCGTATACTCTTACAGCAAAAAGTCTAATAACCGGTAGTTGACTTTAAACTACCATGACCCGACTGTATGCCATATTCGACCACTTCCACAGCACTTTTTCTCTACCTCTGTGTCTGCCTCTTTTACATCTTTGAAACACCCTCCAGTTCTCCCCTCTCGACTTTTTCTCACTTTGATGTTCCTTCCACTCTGTGAAACCCGAAGTCAACTAAATAGTTAATGTCAACTATCATAATGTATGCCATTCGATATAAACAAATGATCGGGTATATCCCCAGCTGTGAAGAATGGGTGTGGGTGAAATGAAATGCAAGTCTGCAGGCGGGACATAATTGAAGCAACTAAGATACGAGTGAGGATATGGAGGTATTACACCACTCACCCAATGATTGGACATCTCAATGGTTTTCAAATTCTTGGCCCTCTGAATTGGTTTATTGGAGTCGCCTTACTTCACCTGCCAATACACCAGTGATTAACATTCATTTAATGCACAATTAACGCAATATAGAGAGAAAAATAGGATGTGAAGGGGATATCAGTAAAAGAAAACAAAAACTTGCAACAATTTTGCCTCGTGGCTCGTATTGGAATCTGGTATGAGCTCTGCTTTGATCCTAGCTCAAATTGTGTAGTGAACCATGTTATATGGGTTAAGTCACGCGGCAAAATATATTTCTTCTTAATTACATATTATACAGAAGCGTGATTTTATCACATTGTTCCACAAATAGGCATGAATTCCACTTTAGATTAAAAGCGAAATTAGGTCATTTAGGATATTCAAGGTCAAATCGAATTGGTAATCCCTTTACATGAACAAGGAATTCTAGATCATACCTTAGTAAAAATGCCCTTGTTAAATCACGGTTGGTAACGACCATTCCACAGGTGAATAAATAGGCAGATATATTTTTTTGCTGAAATTATGAAGAAAGTTCCCCATACGGGGAATTCAGTTTTCAAGAACGAATAAATACAATGAGGTTGGTGCCTGAAAATAAACTCGTATTAAGGATTCTCAAATATTTATTTATTTATATCAAATGACAGGCGTTTTAAAATAATATTTATTTATATCAAATGACAGGCGTTTTAATAATTATCATTAGCCCTTTAGCTGACTTCGGGCTTCACAGAGGGTAGGAACAGGTTAGTCACATAAAATCGAGAGGGGGAACAGAATGGTGATTCAAAGATGTAAAAGAGAGAGACAGATACAGAGGCAGAGAAAAGAGGGGAAGGAACATCAAAGTGAAAGAAAGTCGAAAGGGGGGGGGGAAACAGAAGAGTGTTTCAAAGACGAAGGTAGAAAAAAAGGTGAGATGAGTACTCTGAAGTGGTGTAATATGACATAGTGTAGGGTCATAGTAGTTTGAAGTCAGAAGTCAACTGCCGAATAATGGACTTTTTTGCCGTATGAGTAGATCGAAAGCCGAGTGATAGACTTTTTTGCCGTAAGAAAATACGCTGCCCAGGGTGCACCACGTGGAGGTAAGTCTATCGCACACAAACTTCCGGTTAATAGACTTTTTACCGTATGAGTATACGTTTCCCAGGGTGCACCACGTGGAGGTAAGTCTATCGCACACCCACCAGGATGCACCACGTGGAGGTAAGTCTATCGCACACCCCTACGTATTGACTGAATAAAGAAATATCAGAGGAAGAAGTTAGTATATTCCCAAGTGAAAATATAAATTCTGTTCCTCAAAATAAATTAATGGCTTGGCTTTAAAGTATAAAGTTTTTCTTATAAACCCAGAAATGAATCTTCTGATAATGAAAAGAACCGTCTTTAAAAACAAACGGTTCTAGCAAAAAGTCTAAGCTAATAGAACTGCCTGACACCTTGGTTCAGAGACACCAGGATATCGTTAATTAAAACTTCTTTCCAGAGAGATTGTCTCTTCCGCTCCCTCCCCTCTACTTATTTCCTTCTATATCAGTGCTATTATCGGTCCATTCGTTGGAATCTTGCTCAAAGGTCAATTCGGATAGACTTTGCCCAAAGCAAAACCCAATATTCGGATGAGTCCATATACACGAATATCTGCCAGCCTTCTATGCACTCGTCAAGAAATGGTTAGGTTAGCTACCTTCAACAGACCCAAAAAATCAACTTCATTGACAGTAGCCTAACAGTACTCCTCTCCTTAAGGTAAACAACGTAGGTGCCAATAAAAATGGTCGAAAGATTTCCGTCATTCCTATTTACGACAACCAACTTATAACGCCCTTTATTTTTGCTTTGAGTTAGGCACCCGTTGACCTCTAAATATGTCAGTTTACTTAGATATTCAAATTACCTTTTCAATAATAAAATATTATAAATTATTGGGGGCCATTTCTACTCGTTCTTAGTAGGATAGGCAAAACCATGTGAGACTAAATGAAAAACATGGAAATAGCATTGCGTAAAATCCATGCAAATTAACTGAGGTAGAAGGCAACCCAAAGGAAAAGAATAAGAAAGCAAAAATGTGAACAAAGATGTGCTTGAATAATTTGTCATTTGAGGGGAGCTTAAACGTTTTGACAAGGGTGACTAGTTGGAGCCAGAAAATGTTCACTTTCTGCCCCCCCTCCCCCTCTCCTATCCATCTTAGCCAAGTCTGTCCCATGAGGGATGATGAGAAGGCATTTCACGCACCACCGAGTGGTCACCCTAAACATATACCCGTGTGGACCCCTTGAGTACGGGTGGGTGTGGTAGTCCGTTAAAAATTTAACAAGTTGGCTACGCTCCATATGGTGATGCTAGTGGTGCTGCAACGTCTACTAAGGCTGCAATTTCTGTAAATGGTGAAAGATAAAATGAAAAAATAATTTGATTCTATGTTCTTAAGCTTTTCACAATCGTTTGCAATTGAACATATCGCCAAGTATGACATTGGTAGGGAAACTATTAGAGCTAATGTTAACTGTAGAAACCCTTCCGACTATTATGCGCACAGGGAGTCATTAGAAAAGTATAACTGTTCAAGAGAAAATTTCCATACATAAGTTCTCCCATTCCTGGGCAACGTATTCTCATATGACAAAAAAGTCTATAAACCGGCAGTTCACTTCTCACTTCAAACTACTATCACCCCACTGTATGTCGTATGCGACCACATGTACAGTACTCACCTCACCTTCTTTCTACCTTTTCTACCTTCGTCTTTGAAACACTCCCTGTTCCCTCAACCAACTCGACTTTTTTCACTTTGATATTCCTTCCCCTCTGTGAAGCCTGAAGTCAACTAAAGGGCTAATGATAACCAACAAAACACCTGCCATTTGATATAAAATTAAAAATAAAATTCTTCTATCCCTTACTCTAGTTTAGTCTATGACTCGGCAATATGATTTGACAAAGGTTTCAGGTAGGAGCATTGTAAATATTAAAAATCGATCAAAATTGAAGAAGAGTTGGGGTTGGAGTAGATGGCGACATTTGGGAGAAATAATTTTTGACTTTTTGGTTTCCGGATTCGTTGAATCATCCACTTTGACATAAGTTCAAATTCTATCGGTTATGGAAATTCCTCCTACTCAAATGTCAACTCATATCTTTTCGATTTAAATTAATTGTCCGATCATGTCACTTCAATTCATCCCCCGATTTCTTACAACATGGAGGA